ATTTTCTAATAGAACTATTAATAGCATTAGCATTAAAATAGTCAAAGATAAGGCAGTGACCTGCCAAATAACAAAGTGCCCCTTGGGAAAATAAAAACCTTGTGGCTATACTAACCAGGTAATAATTACACTCAAATGTTTTAATCTTGGCTCTGGTTTGCTATGGACTCTTTCATTAAGTATTTAAATTGTAGTTAAACAAAAACCCTGATAACCGCCTTTGGAGTAGCTTAAATTATAGAGAAATCAATGGTAGAAGCAAGCAAAAACTAAAACAAGGTGTAGGCACCACTGCCTGTCTACTCCTAAGAACATTGTTTTTGTAAAAACATGTTGCAAATAGACAAGAGCAACTAAAAATTCTCCTTTGTGTTATGGTAGAATTAAAAAGCACAATATAATTTTAAAAAAATAAAGAAATAAAAAGCACAATGAAAGATTAAGAAATAGAGGTAAAATCATAATAATCCTCCCTCAACTAGATTTGGATTACTATTAAAAAATATTGTATGGCTGAAGTCAGTATAGTATGGACAAACATGCTAACTAACAGTGAAAAATATAATAAAAAGGTAGGAAATACAACACCTATCTTAGGCCAATTCCCATGTTAAGATACATTTACACAAAGGTTTTTCAGTCTTTCATTTCAACCTTTTGAAAAAAGTAGCATCCTCATTTAAAGTCTAAATATCCTGAATAGTCAAAAGAAAAATGTATCCAGATTATACCAAGCAGAAATCAACTCAACATTTTATTCTCAAAATTGTAACACTTCAACAGTTAATTAAAGGACTCAAATTCAAAGCAACCATTGGGTAAATTGTAATTTTTTTATTGGAAAACAAATATACAACTTGGAATGGATTTGAGGCAAATTGTGCCATAAGCAGATTTTCTTTAAGTGGCTAAACAAAGTTTAAAAGCAAGTAACAATAAAGAAAATGTTTCTGGTACAGGACCAGCAGTACAAAAAAAATAGTGTACGAGTACCTGGATAATACACCCGTTTTGCAATAGTGCAACTTTTAAGTACATATTGTTGACTGTCCATAGTCCACGCAGAGTTACAACTCCACACTTCAACAACAACATGCTGACAGTTCCTAAAAAAAACTACTTTAAAAAAAGGCATAACCCAGATGTTCCCTCATTTGACCAACTCCATCTAAGTTTAGATGTGCAGAAGGGCTTAGATATATCCAGAGTAAGCCACATGCAACATGTTACTTGATCAATTTTCTAAAATAAGGTTTCAGGACAATGACAGTAAGATAAGGATAAGGGAAGAAAACATGGAGGAATGAAGTCCTAATTACTATACATGCATATTTTTTTGACAGTAGTGAGAAACCTTTTACAGATAAGTTACAAACAAAGAAAAGGCAAATAAACAATTTTGTACAAGAAATTTAACACATTCTGTACAATGTCTTCACTTTGCTGTCATCATTTGTACAAACTCTGAAAAAGAAGAAGTACACATAAGGTTGAGTCAATGGCAAAAACTGACAAAACCAATCACATTTACTCAATCACTGCACAGTCTCCATTCTCTCTTTCCTCAGAATTACCATGAAGTATAAAGGAAAGCTAGTTCATTGCCAACACTGGAATTTCATAAACCACAATTGTTCAGTTATATGCTTCAGATAAACTATTATAAAAAACATTCTTGACTGGCTTAGATTAGGCTTGAATTTTAAGCTACTGGGTTAAAGGTGAATACTTGTAACTTCAGTGCTATAAATGGTTCGATTTTAGAATATTAAATTTTTTAGCTTATATTGTGAAAAAAAATATAAGGCAAAGGTTTTGCTGGAAATCTTTTAATTTCCACATCTTGCTTCTTGCTATGGCCATCCCAAATTTAGAGTTACAAGATACTTTTGAACTGAAGTATATGTAAACAGTTTCAGACTAAAGCCAGTTAAGAGTAAAAAAAGGAATCCAGTGGATCCAAGAGAAAGTAAGTCACCTTAATTTCATTTTAGGAAATTCAGGAAAAGTTTGATGCTTTCAAAACTGTTCCAAACATTGTACAGTGCTTCTTAAACTTTAAAGTATGATTCACCCAGAAATCTTATTAAAATGCAGATTCTAGGTGTAAGGGTGGAAAATGAAAATAGTAAGTATTTCAAAGTTCTCAAGTGAGACAGTGATGTTGCCTAGTCTGCACACCAACGCTATGAATAGCAAAAGGTTAGTATACATAAAACTGTTCTAACATTCCAATTGGGGGGAGGTCAGTAATTTTGACCTTATCAGGTAACAAGCCCCTTTAACTTAAAAATCAAAGCACAGCATGAGGCAATCAGAGTGACTTACCTTCATAGTTTACTTGACCATCACCATCAATATCTGCTTCCCTGATCATTTCATCAACCTCTTCATCTGTTAACTTCTCTCCGAGGTTTGTCATCACATGGCGAAGCTCTGCTGCACTGATATAGCCGTTGCCATCCTAGAAAAATATTTAGTGTATTTTCTGAGTAAAATTAAGAGTTAAAACGGA